AGGCCCGGGGCGACGGGGGGGCAGCGCCCGGGGCGCGCTGGTCAGCGCGGGGTGTTGGGTTGGGCCCGGGGGGGGCCTCCCTGTCTGCGGGGACCCGCGCTGTGGTATCGGCCCTCGGTGGTGCCCTTGTGGGAGCTGGGCCTTCCCCTGCCTGCTCCAGGGCCTCGGCAGAGCCCCTGTGGAAGTGGGGCCCTTGGCTTCGCTGTCCTGGTGGCCTTGTGCCACATTGCGGGGATGTGAAAGGAGTGCCTGACTCCTGTGCGGGAGCCGAGGGCTCTGAAGGGAGGAAAATCTCCCCTAGGGATCAGCGTTCCCAGAAGTTCAGAGGCTTCCCCTTCAGGGGTTGGGCTGGAGGTAGTGGTGAAGGGACCATCTGCTCCATCGTGAAGCCAAGTGAAGTGACTCTTTATTCAGTCAGGATGATTTCATGCAAAGGCCCCTTGGGCATAGAGGCTGCTGTGGCTTCTGGAGGCAGCTCTTAGCACGCAGGTGCTATCTCAGGCACTGCAACCCCATAAGTTAGTATTAGATGTGGCTTTTGTTTATTAATAGATTGACATTCATAGCACAAGCGCATTGCAGGAGGACTTAACAGCTTTTATAATTCTTGAAATTACACATGCCCTTCTTCCTGTTAAGGAAGCGTGTCAGACTTGCTTCATCCCTGGATGTCTTGTGATAGACCCCTCTGCAGCAGCCCCCTCCGTGCAGGCTTGGAGCTGATGTGCATGGACAGACGTAGCCTCCGACATCATCAGGTAATGCAGCCCGAATCGTGTTGTGCCTCTGTTGCCTCCAGGCTGCTGTTTCTGAGCAGCCCCACGGAACCTGTGCTGCGCAGTCACCTGGACGTGAGCGGCTGTGCAGCTCGGGTGTGCAAAGCCCTGTCCCTCTACGGGAGGCTCCTCTTGCTCCCAGTTTGGGTCCCTGCCATGTGTGGGAGCAGCTCTCAGTGCCTGCTCTGTGCCTCCCCGCTTAGCTCTCCTTTCTTCCATGTGCTGTTTCTTCTCTCCCTCGTGCCAGCTGTGTATTGTTCATGTTATTCCCACCTACTTTCAACATGCTTCTCTTCCCCTGCCCCGTCTTAACTTGGAGCCACTAGCCGTTTCCCTCGAAAATGCCATGGGGTGTTCCCAGAGCTGGGACTTGCTCGCTGGGCTCCTGCAGAACCCGTGGGCACCACGGGCTTCTGCCTGCTGCCCCGGGCAGGATCCTGGAGCGCATGGAGCTCCCGTCTTCCTGCGGCTGGCCCCTTTGCTGTGCTGCTGTGGGAGGCAGCTCTCATTAGCTGCTTGGATTTGACCTGTTCCCCCAAGAATTTTGGGATGGGGGGAACCGCGTTTCTTTGGAGTTTGTTTTAATGTTTAAAGGAAGTCCCTGTGTATTGAAATGGATGTGATACCGTCCAGACAGCGCTGGGCAATCCCAGGCAAAGGCAGGGGCAAAAGAGACGAAGCTGGTGGCGGGCC